GCCGGGCAGACCGTCGTTGCCGTCACGTCCGTCCTCACCGGGTAGCCTGAAAGCAAACACTGAGAACAATGACAAGTTGGGTGACGATGAAATACCCGTCGGTACCAGGAGCACCCGGTGGGCCTGGGGGTCCAGGAGGACACTCGTTATCAACCTCACAATCTATGATCAGATTATCGTACTATGATTTTCAAGTACCGTCGACCTCTGCTTACTGCAATTAACTCCGTTGATCTTAACTTGTCGAACTTTTCGAACGTTCGAAAATAACTTCTCCCGAATTTCGATCTCTCGCCATACATCGTCGCTGATCACCTACGATAGCACAGGTGTACGGTAAAGCAGCCAACAGTACTGAGCAATACCTACGTTGAACTCGTCCATGTAGGTCATAATTTCTTGACGGACCGTCTGCATCTTCTGGATAAGACATGGCACAAACATGGCACACATGACTAAGGTCCCGACGCTCAGGACCGCTGTACCGGTGGCTGCCACGTTGGCTGAGGTGGCCATCGAGTAGTGGTGTAGTCAGGCCGACAGGCACGTGGTGTTGAGAGTATATGCGCCTCAGATAAGAGGGTGCGCCGCCGTGTATGCCTGGAGACGACGATGTTACTAAGTCCTGTCGACACGGAGAGCATTTTATTAACCAGCTTGTTTTTCTTCGCCACTCTTCTTAAGGATAATCGACAACCTAATAATATATGAATTATAGTAATCCATTCCAATGGGAATACTAGACAAGAATCGGACGGAGAATGAAAACAGGCGGAAACAGGAATAAGAGCAGAAACAAGATCAAGGAAGCGTAGGAAACGCCATGTCTCGAGTGTCGTGCCAAAAAGCCGCCCACGAACGCGGATCAAATGTCTGTAAACAACACGTTAATTTAAACATATGACAATAACTCTGCATAATTTGCTTGATGACAGCATAGTGGAAATACCATGCAATTCAGTGACCGAACACAGACTGCGACCAACAGCTGTTGGAAAGCAACGGGAAACAATCGGGGAAAATCGTGACGGTGGATGCGTCATCGAGCAGGTGGTCCAAATATTGATTCCAGAATTATGGTCCTTTGGGTGATGCAAAAGTATAATTATAGAATAAGAGACCAATAGCTGTCACTGGTACCATTTTTGGGGACGAACAAGGCAGGCGAATGATTCCGCGAGAAAACGCTTCCTTCGACATCAGCCCGTGTTCCCTTTCATTTGGGCCTTCGACGGTTTCAGTTCAGTGAGTCGTAGACGAGTAATTGATGGACAATTGCAACAGACAGACGGTCGTTAGCTGTCATGCTAGAAACATTAAATCGGCTAACATACCTGAAAGATGACCTACAAATGCCGCGGCGTCGAAACGGCGCCATACGACCGGAAGAAATGATCGTCAGGCGAAAACGCAATATAAAATTGATTTATACATCACGCTAGACAGTCGTGGCTGTTTTATGGTGCAGTGGAATGAGCTTCGAACACCTGGGTTGTAGAGGGCCGACCGGGCCTTTAGTCAGTCGACAAATCTAAGCGATATTTGGTAAGTAGACGTCTAAGAAATCATCAGAAGTTTGACCGCATGTTCTTAGGTCTTAGCCATGGGCAGAAGGCAACGATTCAAGTGTGGAATCAGTCTTTACGGTAGTCATAGAGACTTGTTGCTCTCTCGGCAACAGTCGGCACATGACCACTCTAAGAAAGCGTGTTCACCTCCTATCTTTCCATGCACGGAATTTATTCCACTTCGACCGTTGCAGTTTTGACCGCGAGGGTCCACGTCAAGGCTCAAGGCCAAGGGACAAATAGCCCTCAACTGTACCAATCTTCTTCTGTCATATGACTGGAAGTAACGAATAACATTACATCGAAAAGCATAGACTTCTGAGTCAGAAAATTACATTTGAGATAGTGTCGCTGTTGTGTTATCATCGTTGTCTGAGGCTAACAGACCTGAAACAGCACAGTAACCCAGATTTATGATGTCTGACCTTTAGAATGGCATTGGTTCATGCAGAAATCCAGTTTCTGCTACTCAGATTTCTTGGTGAAACAATTATCTTGGCGAACTGTGCTGTGGATGCAAATCACATGTCGCACAGGTATTCTAGGCAGTAATCAATGATGCACATGAGCCTCTGGGTATGGAACAACTGAGTAAGAACAGAATGGCGGTCGATATTAGTGAATTATTATCAATTAATTATTGCTCATAAAATGTTATAACCTAATTTTCTTCCTCACCGACCAAAGTTTGGACTTACATCCCTCGAAAACATAGATAGGGAGTTAAGCAGCGGGAAGGTCAGACCACTCAGCCGGTTGTTGGCCAGGCGTTTGCATCGATTTATACTTCTACTGGCTTATGGACTTGAGTAAATGGAACTGAAGTTAAAAACCCGTTGATGGCCGGTGCTTCAGCAGAAAACCTGTTAAGTGACATGCGACAGTTCCCTTGATATACTATTGATGTGAAGAGGCTGGGCAAGTCTCAGAATACGGCGCTGTGAAATACGTCTGTTTGTGAACTGC